GTCGAGAATTTCGACCAGACCCAATAACAACAAATCTCGACAGAGCCGAATCACGACAGCTCCTAATTGGCCAGCTGAATAGCGAAAATTCGAGACAGATCCCTTAGTCACTCCTGGTTAATGCAGCGACTGTAGTAGTTACAGCCGTCGTCTTTCAGTCCAAAATCAATCCTCTCGAGAAGACGCTACCGAAACGATGTTTGGAGGAGTTCTGCCCGAGGTGCTCCTCACTGAAGGGAACGGGCAGGACTGATGGAATCATTTTAGCTCGGACGATCAGGGCTTTTCTAGTCGTTCGTTACCCGTAACTTTCATTGGAAGATAGGGAGTTTGGCTAAAATCGTAAATCTTGGTGCCTCCGTGCTGTTTGTTTGACAAAGAATATATACTGAAATAATTGCGCTACGCGACGTTTTAAAAACTTTTCTCAATCCCGTCGACTGCCCTCGCACCGTATTTCACGTATTTCGATATTTCTCCATCCTTTGGACTGCCCTTGTTCTACACCCGCGATCATGGTCTGGTAAGTCTTCGTTAGCTGGTTGTACGGTTTCTGATCCCTTTGATTCCAAGTTTTAAAGTGAGAACGACTCTGAAGCGATCCAATTGCAATAATTAATTTCTCTATGGATATATCAACAGAAAAAATGAATCCGCCCAGGGAGCTCCCAGCCTGGGACAAACAAAAATAAACCCTTTATGAATGACATGCCACCCAAGGGAGGCATCAACCCTGAACACATTGTCGCATGGTGTTTAGGGTTGATGCCTTTCTAGGATGGCATGTTATTCAATACGGTTTTAGTTTTTTTGCCCGCCGGTCAGGTCAACGGTGGTCGACGCTCCGTCGACCGACCGTCGACCTCATTTTGTTGGGACATTACACTCGGTAGTGCTTGGTAGCGCTACAAAGCGCTAGGCGATGTAACTGAAAATTGTTAAGGCAACGCATAAAAAACTAAACCCCTTAGGAAACTTGGACGCCAATCAGGGAGGGATCAACCCTAAATACGAGAAAGTACATTGTCTCTAAGGTTGATTCATTTTAAAGTAACATCTATTTCGGACTGAATTTAAGTTTGTTTTGAGTCAGGTGGGGTGCAACTTATTTTTCCAACTCAAGGTAAACCATCTCTGACCAGATAATGAAACGTCCAGCAAATTCACTCCATCTTTTTTAAAGAATCCATATGCTCTCTTCGCAAAAGCACATGTAGAGTCCAAGGGATAGAGAAATGTTTAAAATCCCAGAACGCGGTGCGAGAGTGGTCGACAGGATTGAGCAAAATAAAAAATTTGTCAGATCGTGCAATTAACTCTGATAAACTCGAAGGGAGGGTGCTCTTGGCGCTGTCCAATAGCGATTGGTCAGTTCTATTTACACATGTTTTTCACCATAAAAGATTACAGTATAGTGGAATCAAGATGGATAAAGCACAGTTCAAGGTGGTTAGATCACGTTTCGGTATGGTTAAATTAGGCAAATCGAATCAAACAAAGTCTGCAAGCCAGTTCCGCACGATTCAGTGTAGCGAGAAAGATGGTGTAGGAGAAGGGTGAGTGCACCATTTGGAGACAAGTTTCACACACAACCATTTTTGTCACGCCGTTGTTCTTAAGAAGCTACACCGCAACTTTAAAACACCCTTAATCCATAGATCTCCAACCTTTATAGTGTTAATTGTTTTCTTATGTTTGATTAGTTTCAACTACTTTCATGAACTGATCGGCTATTGTTACTCCATAATGTATGTACAATGTTTTCCGGCTACCATCGCGCCCCATCCTACTTCCCCTTCCATCCCGCCCATGCCAAAAGTAAAACAAACAACATATATAGTGATATTCAAATAGAGATTGCACATCCTGCCAAGTGAAATAGTCTTATAAATAAATCAAAGTTGCATTCAGGAACGCATCAAAATTGAAGTGAAGCTCCCATAAGAAAGAATAAAAACTGGGCATTTATTGATTAGAAAAAAATTGACTGAAATTTATCCACATTAAGATTAATGTTCACATTTGATATTATCCATTGAAAGTGTTCATAGATAGGGGGGATTCAAGATAGTTCTATTTGTTGAAACTTGGCATATATAAAGATGAGATATATTTTTTCATATATATTAATAAAGTATATATTTGAATTATGAATGAACTATATATTAGAAAAGATGAATGAACTATATGTATTATGAATATTTTTGACTACACATAAATATGATTTATTATATTTTAAAACTTAAAGTTATATATACTAATTACCAAATATTTTTTTTTTCAAAAATGCAATTTTATGATAAAACGATCCAAACCTAGATATATAGAATTATATTATACCAGTTTTGGTAAAGCTAAATTTCTTATGTTATAACATTGTATAAATGAGTCACTTTACAAGAGGCTTGAATTTTGTTTCTTTGTATTAACATGTAGCTTTACAATTGAAATTACTGTATTATCAAATTCCATGTTGTGAATCGATTTTGTGGATTGGTTAAACGTAGTTCGTGGGGGAGAAAAGAGGCGTAAGAGGAAAAGTGGAACAATAGCACTCACGGTGAAATAGTGCACATCTATTCTTTTATACTCCTAAAAAAATGACCTAAATTGTCACGCGTAGCACATACCGCATCTCGGGGGAAGTCATTGGACCTCTTTGTTCAACCTTACATGTATTGAAAATGTCAAGTTATTTTCGTAATTTTTATCCTATCTTGGAAACCATATGACACACCGTCTGTGTCGCACTGTTGTAGGTGGCCATCAAATTAGAACATGATTCAAGGCCTGATTGCGGGTGAGAGGACTAAAACACGTATGGTTCGCATGCCCTTTCAGTTTTCTTAACCATAAACACCTTGTTTGGTGGTAGATACCTTTGTGACAATATAATGTCTTGTAACGGTATGTTGTATCAACCAGTGTAATGCATGGGCCTGGGACGCATCAGAGCATGCCATGTTGTGGCAGGCTCGCGAGTCATGAAGCGCAAAAATACTCCAAAAAATTCACTTTGGTTGTATATGAATGTCCCCCTAGTTTCACGAAGGTTCCGACTAAAGAAGACGGCGAGAAAATTGAGAAAGTTTGCAACAGCTTATGATCAAGGGGTAACCAGCTCAATTTTTCGTTGCGTAATACGCATGGTGTGCTGTGGCGAGTTGACAAACGAGGAGGCATGGGGAAGAGCATTGGAGAATGTTTTAATAATGAAACATAGAACAGACTTAACTGAGACGGATACTAACTGTAGTGTGACGATCGGTGATACCCATATGACCAAAGGGGGTTAAATGCGACAGGTCATATAATTTCCCTTTACAGAACGGCAGACTTTGATTTTTGTCGCTGACATGTGTAGGTGAGTGGCATGGCACAGCTCCCCAGTGTAGGTGAGTGGCACAGCTCCCAGTGCACATGGACATGAGTGCAGCTCGTGGAAAACTGTGGCAGGCTGGGAAGGGAGGTTTCGTCCTCATTACGAACCAACCAGTTGCGAACGGAAGATGCCACTTTACGTCAGTGGTCAGTCCACGCTCGTGTCGGCTGCCAGTGTGTGCGAAAGCAGCGACAAGTCTGCTAGCAGGCGTGTTCAGCTGAAAAATTCGCTTAGATGATGGGTACTGTACAGAACGCAGCTCCGCACGCTTCATTCGTTAGTCAGGATCTGCCCACCGCACTGTTTTGGTTGCGGTCAAAGTTTCACGATGTTTGCCCCATCAAAGCCTGAAAGCTGGCCGAATTCAAATTAACCAATCGTCCAATCGAATGGCCCAGCAAGTTGCAAAATGACGGGTGACAGCTGTGAATCTCGACAAGCGAACAGTTTCCCCAGGAAAGCCGACAAACGCCGCAACACCGCAGAGAGCTGAGCCCGTTACAGAGCTGTCTTCCGTAACCGCTTTTGACCGCCTCAAACCCAGAAAACCCAGATTTCATTTTCGAGCCCCAAGTCAGAGGAATTCACGTGGCTTTGTCGCGGATATTTGTTCTAATACACCAGGGGAGTGTGATACATAAAGCGGAGTGTGTAATAAGGTGAACTAGCGGAGTGCCTGCAGATTTCTACCGAGGCCAGATGAAAAAGAATCCAGATGTTCCACACCCTAACCCATTATAACATAGAACACATACGATGGTGGACACGCTTATGCTCGTTCTTTGGGGCCAATTCGTTTCGTTGTGGGCTCAATTGTCTCGTTTCGGCTCCAGCAACAAACAGCCAGACTAGTGTAACGTACGGTAAACGTTGAATTGCCAGACAACGCATAAACACAACATATGAATCTTGCAAGATCACTATGTAGGCGGCGGCGGCTGCTGCTGCTGCTGCTGCTGCTGCTGCGGCGGCACAACATTTAATCCCCCAACTAGATTCTGAATTGCACCCAACACACCCGAGATGTTGCTTGGATCAAGCGGGAGATTGTCAAGCGAGATATTGTACGCTGCTTGGCCGGACGCTTGATCTGGGGAGAAAGAATGGGAGCCTGACGCACCACCCCAACCAGCCCCGGCAGGCATACCCACACCAGGCATACCCGAACCAGGCATACCCGAACCAGGCATACCCGAACCAGGCATACCCGAACCAGGCATACCCATTCCAGGTATACCCATACCAGGCACTCCCATCCCAGGCATTCCCATTCCATGCATGGGGAAACCCGCAAATTGCATCCCACCGGGGAAGGCAAAGGGAGGAGGGGGTGCGTGGTGGTGGTGTGGTGGGTGGGGGCGGTGTTGATGCTGGTGCTGCTCGTGTTGGTGATGATGGTGGAGATCCTGTGGGGTGAGGGGTGGGGTGGCCGGGGAAGAGAGGGGGAAGGGGAGGGAATGGGAGGGGATTGGATAAACAGGGAAATTGCGGTGCGCTGCTCGTGCTGGTGATGGTGGTGCAGATCCTGTGGGGTGAGGGGGGAATGCAAAGAGGAGGGGGGGAAGTGGGGAGGCGAATTGCAGAGGAAGGGAAGTGGGGATTTTGAGTGAAGAAAACTTTACACGGTGGTAGAGAGCAATGGGTTGATGAATGAGAGCAATGGGTTGATGAATGAGAGCGTAAACTGCAAGGGGCGAATCTTGGCCTGGATTGTTCAACACATTGAGATCATGGATAGATTGGAAATTGGAGGGATTTGATTGCTTCAATGAAAAGAATCATCAACGAAAAGAATCAGAAAGATTCCACTCTGGTTGTGGAATGGAACACCAACAAGAAAGTGATCACACAAAAGGGACGCAAAGAAAAGGAAGTTGGAGGGAAGAAAATCGTCAAGCATCAAGATTGGGTTGAGCAAACAGAGGGAAGCAAAGTTGATCAATCTTGTCCTGCCCAGGCATACATGATCCAGGATGATCAAGATTGGGGTAAGCAGACATACATGATGGGAGCAGCACGCGCCACACCTCTGCTCGTCAAGCTTCCTCTTGGCTGCCTGCAGTGGCAGCGAGATTATGGAAAGGGCAGTGGCAGCAAGAACCATGAAGGTGGGGGGAAGGAGGTGGCGAATCATAAGGGAGCGAGAGAGTGATTCAGAAAGTCGGGGGAGGCAAGATAGCGACTCCAACGGTTGACAATCGCAGGCAGGCTGTTTGTTCTGTAAGTGGCCTTTGAGTCGACTCAAAAGACAATCGCAGGCAGGCTGTTTGTTCTGTAAGCAGCTTAATTGTGCAATGCAGTTGAGAATCGAAGGTTAACCCGGACGGCTCACTTTGGGGTTCTCCTCGTGCGCTGCATTGGAGGGATCGCGGTACAGAGTTCTGAGGAGCCTAAAAAATTGTCAGCACAAGGAAAATTCCTAGAGAATAAACTCCAAAACTGGATTGGTGAGCTCACTCTGCGGTTCTCCTTGTGCGCTGAATTGGAGGAGTCGCACTGCAGAGTTCTGAGGGGCCTCACAAATCGTCGGCACAAGAAGAATCTCAGAAGCTAGATTTCTCGCCGTTAAGTTCTCCCTGGGCTTTGCATTGCAGGAATCGTGCTGAAGATTTATCTGAGGAGCCTTGCAATATGTCAGCACAAGGAGAATGTTAAAAGTGGAATTTCTGAGCTCACCTTGAGGTTCTCCTTGTGAGCTGCATTGGAAGGATCTAGCTCCAGTGCTGCAATGTGGACAGGGGGGGGGGGGAGGAGAAGTAGAATGTGGGTGCACAAGCAAATCTGGATACCTGAATCACAGAGGAGCAGAAATAAATAACTAAATGGAACAAAATGGTCTCCAGCGCATACACCTTTCCTGAAGCCCCACTCCTGCAATCTCCCACTCCCACAAGCACTCGCACCTTTCTTAAAGCCCTCTTCAATCGCCTCGTGGTGCCGACCCAGCGCCATGCACGCATGCCCCAGCCGGCTGTACGCCTTGCTGTACCTCGGGTCTACTGCTACCGCCCTCCTGCTGTCCGCCGCAGCTTCCATGTAGTTTCCCAGCTGGTGCTGCGCTGCTGCCCTGCAATCAGCAAACAGCAAAACAGCGAACGAGAAATCTTTGAAACATCCTCTGAACTTTTCATTTCAAGCTAACTCGAAAGAGATAAGAGAGAAGGGAGGGCACATGCTGGCGTTGTAAATGGCATTCATACAACTATGGAAAGCAATTTCGTTGGAGTGGCATGAGAGTGCCTTTTGGGTCCAATCAAACGCGAGAGGAAAGGAAGGGAGAGTACCTGTTGGCATAGTAAATGGCGTTGGTGGTGCCAACACAGAGGGGGATTGCTTTGGAGTAGAGAGATAAGACTTATTGATTTGATTTACAAGACAAGGGAAGGGAACGGAAGGAAAGGGAAGGGAAGGGAAGGGAAGGGAAGGGAAGGGAAGGGAAGGGAAGGGAAGGGAAGGGAGAATACCTGTTGGCATAGTAAATGGCGTTGGTGCCACCACAGAGGGCGATTGCTTTGGAGTAGAGAGACAATGCCTCTTCGTAGTTATGGGCTGCCATGGCCGCATTGCCTGCAGGGAGGTGTGGTCACGAGGGGCGATATGAGGTGCGTGGGTGGGTGGGTGGGAGAAAGGAGAGCCACCACAGAGAGCGATTGCCTTGGAGTAAAGAGATAATGCCTCTTCGTAGTTATGGGCTGCCATGGCCGCATTGCCTGCAGGGAGGTGTGGTCACGAGGGGCGATATGAGGTGCGTGGGTGGGTGGGTGGGAGAAAGGAGAGCCACCACAGAGAGCGATTGCCTTGGAGTAAAGAGATAATGCCTCTTCGTAGTTATGGGCTGCCATGGCCGCATTGCCTGCAGGGAGGTGTGGTCACGAGGGGCGATATGAGGTGCGTGGGTGGGTGGGTGGGAGAAAGGAGAGCCACCACAGAGAGCGATTGTCTTGGAGTAAAGAGATAATGCCTCTTCGTAGCTATGGGCTGCCATGGCCGCATTGCCTGCAGGGAGGTGTGGTCACGAGGGGCGATATGAGGTGCGTGGGTGGGTGGGTGGGAGAAAGGAGAGCCACCACAGAGAGCGATTGCCTTGGAGTAAAGAGATAATGCCTCTTCGTAGCTATGGGCTGCCATGGCCGCATTGCCTGCAGGGGGAATGAATGAGAATGGGCGTGGGCAAGATGGGGTGGGTGGGTGCGTGGTTGCGGGAAGGGGGAGAGCCTGACAAGAGATAACGCCTCCTCGTTGAATTCACTTTTGAGAATTCTCAAAAGGGGGAGAGCTTGACAAGAGATAACGCCTCCTCATTGAATTCACTTTTGAGAATTCTCAAAAGGGGGAGAGCTTGACAAGAGATAACGCCTCCTCATACTGATGAGCTGCCATGGCTGCATGCATTGACTGGAAGGAGAAGGGCCATGGGGCGATATGGGGTGGTTGGGTGGGTGAGAGAAGGGGAGGGTGGGTGAAATTTACTGATGAGCTTGACTTGACAACCACTTGGCCATAAACACCTACCCCAGCCACCCACCCCCAGCCACATTAGACATACACACACACACCACCCACCCATGCACTGCAGGGTGTTTTTGGAAATTCTCAAAAACACCCTGCACAAACACCAACCCCAGCCACCCACCCCCAGCCACACTACTAGACATGCACACACACCACCCACCCTTGCACTCCAACCCACTCACCCATCCATCTACATCACCCACTCACCCACCCACACCACACCACCACACCTGACATCACACCGCCCCACACCACACCACACACCACCCCACACCACACCACCACACCACACACCCTGCGCCTTCAGTTCCTCTGCTTTCTTCTTGTCCTCTTCTGTGACCACTGCTGCCGCCGCACCCCCACTCCCAACAGTCTCAGCAGAAGCACTGGCAGTAACACCACTAGCAGCACCACCACCAGCACCACTAGCAGCACCACCAGCAGCACCACTTGCAGTTGCAGCTGAAGCATCTCCCATTTCCGACTCCTTCTCCTTCCCCTTGTCGCCCCTTTGCTCCTTCCTGCCCTCGCTGCTCTTGCTGCCGCCCTCCTCCTTCTCGTTCCCCTCCTTCTCCCCTCCCTCCTTCTCCCCTCCCTCCTTCCCTTGTTCACTGCCCCCTTCCCCTTGCTCCTTTCTCCCCCCCTCTCTCCCTCCTCCCTGCTGAGCCACGCACTGGTGAAAGATAGCTCGTGCCTGCTGCTGCCTCGTCACATACTCCTCACTCCCCACCACCGTCCCTGCATAGTACCCCGCACTCTCCAGCCCCTGCAGAAACTCCTGAAGCTTCTTCTCCAGATCCAGAGCACCCTGGGCCTCCACCTGACCCTCCTCCCCTTGCCGGTTCGGCCCACTCACACCTGCCCCAGCTTCCCCACGAGCTGTTTCCCATGCTCTTTCTTTCGCTTGTTCCCCCGTTTGCTCAGCAGCCCCCTCAACTGCGTCTTTCATCTCTACTTCCTTCCCCCCCTCTCTGCCTCCGCTGGCCCCGTTGCCTATCCTAGCGTTTTCTGTTCCTGCAGCAACCGAACCTCCCCCAACCCTGTCTCCCAAGTCTGCCTCTCGAGGCTCGGCGTCACGCTTGTTTTCTTCATCCATAGGTTCGGGCAGCGAGGCAGCAGCCTGAGAGTTTTCCACTAGCTGCCCGCCTGGCCGGGCAGCACCGGCAGAAGAACCATGACCAGTAGCGGAACCCGGCGTGCTGTCCTGAATGAGCTGCAACAGTGTTCCGGGCAGAACTGAATATTTTTCCAGGTCGTCAGGGTTTTGCGGGTTGACCCCAAAAGCTTCGGAAAGGCAGTCTGCGGCAACCTCTAGGGCGTCCGAGTCAACTGAGGGAGGGAGTGGGGCTGATGGGGCAAGTTGGGAGAGAAAAAACGGGAGGAAACGGAAAGAGGGGACATCAGATGAGTGGTGGAACGATTGTGGGACATCTATCGTCACAATTGTTAGTCTGTGGTAACTGCTAGGGCGTCCGAGTCAACTGAGGAGGGGAGTGGGGCTGATGGGGGAAGTCGGGAGAGAAAAAACGGGAGGAAACGGAAAAAGGGGAGATGAGATGAGTGGTGGGATTTTTATGGAACATCTATGATCACAATTGTCAGTCCGCGGCAACCTCTAGGGCATCCGAGCCGACTGAGGAAGGGAGTGGGGCTGATGGGGCAAGGTGGGGGGGGAAAATAAAAGGAAGCAACGGAAAGAGAAAACGGAGAAGAATCAGAGAGATGGGAGATACTTTGGTGGTGGCAGTGGAAAGGCAAAATGAGAAAAGGCAGTCTGCGACAACCTCTAGGGTGTCTCAGTGAAGTGAGGAATAGAGCGGGGCTGATGGGGCAAAGGGTGAAGCGAGGAAACGGGAAGAGGAAACGGAGGGAATAATCCGAGAGAAGCCTGAGCGCTTCAAGCTGTTACTACGAGTACCCGTGCGGAGTTTTTGAGTCGACTCAAAAGCCTGAGCGCTTCAAGCTGTTACTACGAGTACCCGTGCGGAGTTTTTGAGTCGACTCAAAAGCCTGAGCGCTTCAAGCTGTTACTACGAGTACCCGTGCGGAGGAACTGACCGTTGAGCCGCTTGACGCAGTCTCTAGTAATCACCTGTGCGGAGGAAATCGAGGACTGCGAGCACGGTTCGCCTTTGAGCGAAGAATTCATCCTCCTTAGAAGCCGCATCGCTCGGAGACGCCATACCCAGCTGCTGCGGTCACGAAACGCTCACGTTTTCTAAGATGCCGCTCAGCTAAATCCTACTGTTCACAATTTTTCCTCGGAGTGTCCGACTAGGAGTAATCTCACGACGCCATTCGCGACAATGGGATCGAATTCGGGCACTTCGGCCAGAGGAAGGACGGGATGGAAAGACGGGAGGTATGGCGAGAGTGATCAAGCACTCGCTGACTCGAATAAGGTAGCCTGCTGCTGCTGGCGGGACGTTGATCGTTGCTCGGGTAGTCCCAAATACTGCTACTCGTCGCGCGCTTGGACTCCTCAGAATGAATCACTAGTGCTAACGCCGCGCACTCGTGTCAGTCTGAATCTGAACTAAAAGCGACGAAGTGAAGTGGCTTGCTCGGTTCTGGACGAAAGGCGTTGTGGAAAAATCAGGAGATGAGGCGACTGAGTAAGGCGGATTTTTGGATGGTTCTGGAATCTGAGGTGTTAGCACCACACTGCACATCACGGAAAAGCTGCGAAATCTTGCTACACCGTACCTTTACCATCAATCGGCAAAAAGACACACCCCCTCAATCAGCAATAAAGAGACTTGGACTTTTGTTTTGTAGAAAGTACTTTTCAGCTTCTTAGCCAGACGCGCCAGAGTACGCTTATCGCGGATGCGATATTGTCACCACCAACCAATTTTCAGAGGCAATCCCGACGTAGTCACCAGCAGTCCCAAGGCCGGTTTCAGCTCTGATCACAGCGGTTTGGTACCATGGCTTGCAGTTTGATCATGCAACTATGTCGGTAGCCGTCCCAGAACCAGCTAGACCTAATTCGTTATGCGATATCGTGTCGTGAGGTAGGTTAGCTGTCTGACGCTGATTATTTTAAGAAGATTTTGTCCTCACTCGTTGAACCGGTATCAATGCGTCGGGATCGTCGTCTGCTTCGTCATCATTGAATGCGCGTCGCGGGTTTAGAATGACAGGAGCTGTACTGCAGCAAAAAATTACGCTAGCATTTTCTTAGGCATTCGTTGCGATGAGATTAACTGGAAGACTCTCACATTTAGCTAGAACCTGGAGCGATAGGACCAATAGATTCGGAATGGGAAGTCACGGAAGCCGTCACGATGCTTCGAGTTGCGCTGCGAAACGTAGTTTTGCAGAAAAAAATATATCCAGCGTTGTTTCCCGGAGCTCAAATCCTTGGGAAATTACTTCTTTCCTCACATCGCCTTTGGTGACTGCTGTCCTTCTCGCTCTGCTCGTTTCCAGCGCCGTCGCTGGCTCGTCCAGACCATCCGCGTTAGAAGCGGACTCTTTAGAAGCATATCTCACAGAAACGAGCGACCATTTTCCGATGATGTCACACGTTCTCTCGCTGGCGGATTACCCTTCTTGGGAGGGTTCCGTGCGGCGGAGATTGGTGGATGACGTGGCATCAACGGCCAACGGCATGTTAAGGTACACTGCTTTGAACAACACCTACCTCTATTCGAGGCGCCTAAGAACACGTTGCACAAATAAGGCTCTTTAGAAAAGGCGCCCTTAAACCTCGGTTACGGGGTTGCGAAGATTGCTCTCCCACGTCTCCTTCTCTCTTCCCCTTCATTCCCGCCTTCCTCCCTCACTCCCATCTCTCCACCGTTCTCTTCACCACCCCCCCCGCTCGCCTCCCCCTTTTTCTCCGCTTTCCCCCCACCCTACCCTCCTCCCACCACCACTCCTCCTTCCCTGCAGTTCCGAAGCGGTGAGTCAGCTTGTGGGGCGGCTGAGGGCGCTGCGGGTGCGACTGGGGGAGGTGGTAACGCGGGCGAACACGACCATGCAGCTGCTGCCGGGGATGGAGGAGGAGAACGGCGCGGAGGGCAGCGGGGAGGGGCTTGAGAGCGTGAAAGTAGTTGATGTCGTGGATGATGATCAGACGCCGCTGAAGCTGGATTGGTGAGTGAAACGAGACGCACTGTAACGCGGACAGACAGGCATGGCTGTGAGGAGGGCAGCGGGGAGGGGCTTGAGAGCGTGAAGGTGGTTGACGTGGTGGATGATGATCAGACGCCGTTGAAGCTGAACTGGTGAGTGAATGTGACCCATTATGGCTTGAAACGAATCAGCATGCAGTGGGGACAGGCAAGGTTGGGAGTAATCGAGGGGTGGGCTTGAGAGCGTGAAGGTGGTTGATGTTGTGGATGACGATCAGACGCCACTCAAGCTGGATTGGTGAGACGTGTGGCCCAATGCATTGGCGTGAGTGTGTGTGTGTGAGGAGGGCAGCGGGGAGGGGCTGGAGAGCGTGAAGGTGGTCGCGCTGTGAGCAAGGAGCAGGGGGAAAAGGAGGAGAAGGACAAGCAGGCGCAGGGGCGATGCCCTTCAAAATATGAAATGGTCCCAGAATCTTGATTCACTTTCGCTTCAACCCTCTCCCTTCCTCCGCCCTCTCTCCCTTGTCCTCCCTCCACGGTCCACGATTCCCCTTTCCTTCACTTCACCCCACCCGTCCCGTCAGGGGTCGCGCTGTGAGCAAGGAGCAGAGGGAGAAGGAGGAGAAGGACAAGCAGACGCAGGGGCGATGCCCCTCAGACGCTCAGGCGGCAGGTGGTGCAGGCGGTGCTGCTGACGTGGCAGCGGCTCATAGGCTGGCGGCACATGCGGACTGGAGGGGCGGATTCGCGAATGGGAGCTTGGTGTGGGCGCCGGAGAAGGATAGATACATTCTCATGGATTGCCATAGGGGGAAGGTACTTGTGTGGGGAATGGGCAGGGCGGAGCGAGGAGTGTGGGTGGGCAGGCAGGTGGTAGAGAATTCTTAACAATCACTCACAGGGCGGGGCGAGGAGTGTGGGTGGGCAGGCAGGTGGTAGAGAATTCTTAACAATCACTCACAGGGCGGGGCGAGGAGTGTGGGTGGGCAGGCAGGTGGTAGAGAATTCTTAACAATCACTCACAGGGCGGGGCGAGGAGTGTGGGTGGGCAGGCAGGTGGTAGAGAATTGTTAAAAATCACTGGGCGAGGAGTGTGGGTGGGCAGGCAGGTGGTAGAGAATTGTTAACAATCACTCACAGGGCGGGGCGAGGAGTGTGGGTGGGCAGGCAGGTGGTAGAGAATTCTTAACAATCACTCACAGGGCGGGGCGAGGAGTGTGGGTGGGCAGGCAGGTGGTAGAGAATTCTTAACAATCACTCACAGGGTGGGGCGAGGAGTGTGGGTGGGCAGGTAGGGTGAGAGGGGAGACTTTTGAGGCGCCTCAAAAGGCAGGCAGGGTGAGAGGGGAGAAAAGAGAGAAGTGCTGAGAGGGGAACTAACCTCTCAGCACCTCTCAAGGTTAGTTCGCGAATGGGAGTGTGGAATGGGGGCTGGGGAAGGGTAAAGACGTTCTCATGGTGGCACAGGGGAAAGGACGGTATGTGGGTAGCGGAAAGGACGGTATGTGGGTGGGTGCTATCCCCCCTTCCTCCTCTCCTCCCCCCTTTTTCCACCTTCCATTTCCTCCACCGCTTCCCCCCTTCCCCACCTTCCATTTCCTCCGCCGCTTCCCCCCTTCCCCACCTTCCATTTCCTCCCCTCTCTCCCTTTCAGTCCAGCATTCCAGTTTCCTCTGCTCCCATCCCACTTCCCCCCCTGCCGCGACTGACTCCCGCTTCCCCCCTCTCGCACGTCAGTCCAGCAAGCGCATCCAAATGTTGCTGATGCTCCCTTTCCCCCCCTCCCTCACTTCCCCCCTCCCCCCCCTCCCTCACTTACCCCCTCCCCAACTCCCCTCTTCCCCCACTCAACCCCCCACCAACCACCCACTCCTCTCCCCATCCAGTCTAGCACGCGCATCCGCTGCTTCCGCAACCACATGCTGCTGGCAGGGCTCTCAAACCCCACGCTGCTGGCAGGGCTCTCAAACCCCACGCTGCTGGCAGGGCTCTCAAACCCCACGCTGCTGGTGCCGATGAAGGCAGTCTCCCTTTCTCTCCTTCCCCCCTTCCTTCCCTCCCCCACCTCTTCACCCCCCCACCCACACCATCACCAGTCCAGCACGCGTATCCGCTGCTTCCGCAACTACATGCTGCTGGCAGGGGCTGTCTAACCGCACGCTGCTGATGCTCCCTTCACCCCCTTCTCCCGCTCCCCCCCACATCTCGCCTTCCTTTCCCTCCCCCTCTCCCCCTAACAGTCCAGCACGCGCATCTGCTGCTTCCGCAACTACATGCCGCTGGCAGGGCTCGCAAACCGCACGCTGCTGGTGCCGATGAAGGGCCCTGACACTTCCCCCTCATGCACCCACCAACTAACCTCTCCTTCTCTCCCCTCTCTCCCTGCAGTCCAGCACGCGCATCCGCTGCTTCCGCAACTACATGCTGCTGGCAGGGCTGTCGAATCGCACACTGCTGGTGCCAATGAACACCACGGAGGTGGCGTCTGGATACGACCGCCGGATTGTCTTTGACTTCGACCACGCGTGGAGGTGAGTGAGTGAGTGAGTGAGTGAGCGAGCGAGAGAGTGAGTCGGTGACTGACATAGTGCCCTCAAAAAGGGGGCTCTCAAATCGCACGCTGCTGGTGCCAATGAACACCACGGAGGTGGCGTCTGGGCACGACTGGTCCGGTGCATCGTGTTTGACTTTGACCATGCCTGGAGGTACGTGGAGGATCATGGATCATGTATCATGGATCATGGATCATGGATCATGTATCATGTATCATGGATCATGTATCATGGATCATGTATGATGGATCATGTATCATGTATCATGTATCATGTATCATGGATCATGTATCATGGATCATGGATCATGGATCATGTATCATGGATCATGTATCATGGATCATGTATCATGGATCATGTATCATGGATCATGTATCATGGATCATGTATCATGGATCATGTATCATGGATCATGTATCATGGATCATGTATCATGTATCATGTATCATGTATCATGGATCATGTATCATGGATCATGTATCATGGATCATGTATCATGGATCATGTATCATGTATCATGTATCATGTATCATGGATCATGTATCATGG